AAGTTACACTTTTTTTTTTTGATGCAATAAGTTACACTACATTTAAAACATTTTTCATTTATACATATCACTTATATAAAAATTTAATGATTTATTTTTTTACCATAAATAATTGAAATTTATCATAATTTTTAGACAAAAAAGATTATTATCTTTAAACACTAAAATAAAAAAATTATAAATATCAATTATTCATAGTGAAAAGATGAAATGATCATGATTTTACATAAATGATGTATTTAAAACTTATATATAAGTAGATCCTACCTTTATATTAAATTACTTTAAAGGTGTTTGCCAAAACTTAAAAATACCTTGTTTAAAAACAATTTTTTTCTCATAAATTTAAAATTTTATTGAAGAAAAATTCAAAAATTAACTTTTAAAGTAACTTTTAAGTAAATTTTTAAAAAATTACATATTCAAATTTTCTCAACATTTACTTAGAAACTACTTTAAAAATTAATTTTTAAATTTTCTCCAAACAAAAATTTAAATTTATAAAAGAAAATTTTACTTTTTAAAGTAAATGCCTTTTAAGCATTTCCAAACACCCTCTTCTACCATAGATTTTAATCTTTTCTTTTCTTTTCTTTATAACAATCTCCCTTTATGTATTTAACGAACAAAACTCAGGGCATTAATGCTCCACAATTCTTTCTCTATTTAATTTTGGATTTTTCTAACATATGTCAGTAAGGGCACAGATTAAGGTACGATAAATATAATTTGTTATAATTAATTTACACAAAAAATAATAAAAATTAACTTTTATTTTAATGTTATTGTCACATAAATATTTTTAATTAGTCAATTAATTAAATTTAAATTAATTTTTATTATTTTTTATATACATTAATTATAAAATAATGCATTTATTGCACATTCTTAAAGTACAAGATAAAAAATTCCTTTAATTTTTATAGTTAACAACTGATGTCTCTTCCTTTCCGTCACTAATTCCATATGCCATATGCATGTACAAGAATTGGGTAACCTGAGCAATGTGGAGGTGCTTATTTTGAGTCATAATGCCCTCAATGGAAGCTTGCCAACGCAAGGTATTAAATGATGAACTCCTCCATTACAATCCCAAGGTTCGATTTAACTACTTTGCTCCTTTGAAAATCTAGTTTGACACTCCGTACTGTTCTTGCTTATCTATTGATAGGTTTTACGAGACTAGAGATATTAGATTTGAGCTCAAATCAATTCATCGGGTCCATTCCTTCATCTATTGTGGCACTTCATTCTCTAAAGGCATTATCTCTATCTTTTAATCAATTTAACGGCTCATTACCAAATCTCGGTACGTAAAAAATTAATTTATTCTTTTTCCTTCTTGCATTTGTGATGGCATAATTAAGAGTAAGTCCAACAAGGGATACTACGTTAATCAATGTTCCGAAGGCTTTACGCTGCTTCTTAAAAAAAATAAATAAAGAAGGGACATATTCTCTAGGTCTGTCAAAATGGAATTGTTAATGGTTAAAATCCAATATATAACCCATGTTTGGCCCAATTTAACTGAACTCACTACTCTAGACAAATTTCATGGGCTGCCTTCGAAAGCTGAAAAAATAGCATGGCAATAAAAGCCTGAATGCCTAATAAGATAAAAGTACTTTGCAGATTGTTTTTTTTTTAAATTTTTTAGATAATATATTTAAAATTTTATTTTTTATTTAACATTTTGAAAAATTAATTGTTAAATTGAAAATTTTATTTTTATAAATCATGCATGTCAATTTTAAAATTATTTTAGTAAGTTTAACCATTTTGTTGGTTACATAAAATTTAATACTATTAAATATATGTCAATAAATAGAGTTCTTTTGATTAAATGGTTAAATGTTAGATTAACATAAAAATTAAAATGTAGAATCTATATAAATAAAATTTTTAATTCAATAATTCATTTTTAAAATATTAATAAAAATGTGAATTTTTAGATATGTTCTTCAAAAACAATTTGAGGAAGAAGACCTCATGCCTAAATTTTATACTTTTTGTCAGTTAAATGAAGCCGATCATAACCTCACTTTTGCTCTAGATAGAGGGCATTGGTAATTTGAATGAGATTAGGAAAATAAACAAAAATTGGAAATTCATTGGTAATTTTTGACTAATGCAATTGCATTCATTCAAATAATTGGAAATTAACTGAGAGATCTTTTAGTAAACTAATGAAACACAAAATTCACTATGGATTCTTAGTAAACAATTTATGCCCCTTATGGCAGGTTTGTGTGGATTAAAGAGGCTTCAAGAGTTGGATTTAAGCCAAAACAATTTTGAAGGGACACTTCCTCCATGTCTAAACAATCTAACATCTCTTAAACTTTTAGATATTTCAGACAATTTTTTCTCCAAAAACCTTTCCTCAAATTTGATACAAAGCCTCCCATTATCCCTTGAATTCATTGATCTTTGTCACAACAATTTCCAAGGCTCATTCTCTTTTAGCTCAATTGGGAATTACTCCAAGCTTGAGGTATTCATGCTCACAGGCTACAAAGATAGACTACAAGTTGATGTTCAATATACAAATTCGATTAATATGT